TTTTTAGTAGAGACAGGGTCTCGCTCTTGCTCAGGCTGGTCTCGAACTCCTGAGCTCAAACGATCCGCCCGCCTCGGCCTCCCAGAGTGCTAGGATTGCGGCGTGAGCCACCGCACCCGGCCAAGATAGTTTTTTTTATAGGAATATCCAGTCTCTCTCCAGAAAGGCTATGATCATAGTCCTATCAGCAATATATGAAATTGTGCACTTCCTTGAAACCTCTGCAAATAATAGTAAAAACAGTAATAAAAACGAGGCCATTGTGGTAGGTGAAATTTTTCCATCTCTTTGTTTTAACTTGTCTTTCCTTGACAAAGCGTCCTTTCTCATGTTTATTGGCCATTTTATTTCTTTGGTTGTGTGAAGGTCAATAAAGAGATTATCTTCATGGCTTAGGTTTTAAGGGAAAATTGCTAGATTTTCAACACAGGCCCCATAAAGTTCTTCAAGCAAGGTGATAAGATTAACATACCAGAGAGATTGGCAAAACTCAGTTTCAGCAGGTCTGTGGATCAATTATACTTTCTGTCTGTTCTTTTGAATATTCTTATTGATAGTGTTTTTTTGGGCGGTGCCTACAGTCCGAGATCACACTAGGAGGTGGGTGTTTGGCAGTTTTTAAATTCATCTATTTGTTTACTTTGTATTCACCTTGGTTCCTGAATTCCTGGAACTACAGTCCTCCTTGTCTGATCAGTGACAGGGCAGTCTGGACTCCTGGAGAGCAGAAGGGAGGACCTCAGGGTTCCGCAAGATTCCAGCAGACCAAGGAAACAGTTATGGGTGATCAGGCCAAGTGGGAAGAACCAAGTTGTATTCTTTCTTGGCCTTTTAAGGTCTGGAATCTTTGCTCATCCATTCATTATGGACACTTGTTGGTCCCATGTTGTCCTGATGGGCAGGTTTTTGCGTCTTTGATTTTACCTTGGAAAGATTTGCATCCTCTTTCCACAATACCTTTAGAAAGCTGTCGGGACTGTCAATCAATCACACCTTCAAGTTTCCATGCAGCATTTCATACAATCCTATAAAAGCATCTGGGGTCTCCTTTACCCCCACAAAGGAGGTACAATAACTACTGCCCGTATCTGCTATTGAGGAAATCGGGATCAGGGAGGAGAAGCGGAAGGAGCCAATATCTGACTGTAGTCCGGTGCTCTTTGTCTTTCGGGGGTTGGGGGGAAGGCGGTGATCCCCGCATGGCAGCTGGGAGGGCTGAGACCGAGGCCCTGAGCGCCGGCATTGGGGGAGGGCACGATGCTCCTTCCCTCTTTGAAACGGAACCTTTCTGACTCAGTCTCTAGGGTTCCAGAGACCGGATCCGAGGCGCAGGGTGGGGGATGACCGGCCACACTTGCCTGCAGCACCGAGGGTCTAGAAAAGGGGCGGGGGGTTCATTAAGATGCAGGTTAAATCAACCTATAGAGGCGCCCCCCACCCCTTTAGGGATGGGATCCCACCCCTCCCCCATCAAACTTGGTGAGGGTCCTCGGCCGCCTCCTCCACAGCCCCGGCCCTCCTCCCGGCCCCCGCGGGCCACCTTCCCGCCCCCAGGCCAGCCCGCCGGGCAGGGTCTCCAGCGCCCCCCGGGCTGGACTCTGCCCCCGCCCCGCCTCCCCCTCCCTCCTGGGGGCGGTGGCCCGTGGCGGGCCTTCCCATTGGCTGCGGCGCGAGCGAGGGCGGGGGCTGGCGGCGCTGATTGGCCGGGGCGGCTCGGCGGAGCCTTGGAGTCCCGCGAGTCGCTGGGGGAGCCGGGCAGACGCCGCGCGCAGCCGGAGCTCGGCGCGAGGATCCCGCAGGTCGGAGCCCGGCGGGTCGCGAACAGATCGCATCCGTAGATCGGAGCCCGGGCCCGGAGGTAAGGGCGAGGCGCCGGGTCGCGTAGGGTAGGCCCTTTCCAGGGGAGCCGAGATGGGGTCCTTCTGCCCTGCCCCCAGGGAGCAGAAACGGAGCATCTTCTCCCAGAAGCGGAGCCCTCATCCTCCCAAGACGCGCGTCCTCTCCTGGGAAAGGAAGTGTCTCCCAGCCCTCAGCAAAATAGCTGTTTTACCTTCAGAAATGGGGCCCTCCTCCTGCCCCCAGCTCTAGAGATAGAGTTCTGCTCCCTGATTCACCCCTTGAAATAGTCTGTGGCCCCAAAAAGTGGGTCCCCAAGAACCTCCTCGTCCCTTTGGAGACTGATGCCCCTTCCCCATCCCTAAAAAACTAAGTTTGGATTTCTTCCTTCTCCCCTGTCACCCTTCGGAATGATGGGGGTCTTCTCAGCTCATAAATAACGGTGTCCCCCTCCATGGAAAATGGAAATTCTGAGAAGTAACCTCCCCCCACACACAATAAGACAAGGAAATCCTGGAGCAGACACTCTGCAAGTCCCCCTCCCACCCCAGATGGACCTCAGAAACTGGACTCTGGGGATAGAGGGTCCCCCCATCCCTCTGCCAGAGACCTCTCCCTACCCACAAGGCAAGGTTGCCTCTGACGCCACCACACTAAAGACTTTAGGGGATTTTCTCTCTTCCTCTAAAAATGTAAGACCAGGGGCTTTCAATCTCAGGAACAGGGCAAGGGTCTGGCCACCCATCCAAGTCATCCACCTCCCTCCACCCCTCTCTGACCTTCTCACTGAAATCCCATCCTGCTAACACCCCACGCCCACCACTCCCACCTCCCCCATCCCACCCTATACCACTTCCACCCAACTCTACTTACACACCTGGCTGCCCCGCCTGTCTAATTCCATCTCACCTTTCCTCACCCACCCTGGCCAGAGATAAGACCAGAGGAGGTTTAGTGAGATTTAGTAAGACTGATGCTCTTAGAACTGGGATCCCAGCCCTAGAGACCCTTCCAGGTACCTCCAAACTCTGACAGCAGAGATGGTCTCTGAGGCTGCAGCAGGACCAATGGGGATGCTCCCACCCGCAACACTCGCACAAAGGGCCGTGTCCACTGTAGCCTCCCCTGAGGCAGTCTGAGGGAGGGGCTGCTGGCCCTCTCCCCATTTGCTCCCCGGGTCGCTGCCTGCCCCCCAAAGCTCCTGTGGGCATCACTTGGTGGAACCCCCTGCACGCTCGGCCAAGAGAGATGGGTGCTGCTGGGCCCGTCCCTTGGGCTGGGGACAGTGTTGGCTTTGCTGCTTTGATGAAGCTGACTGGACAGGATGTTGGTGACCTAAGGAGGGTTGGGGGCAGCTCTTCTCTGGTGGGCCAGATTTTGGGTCGGGGGACAAGAGAGAGGGAGGCAGTGAGTTTTGCCTTGTTCTTTGGCACTGGGTGCTGCAGCGTGGAGTGTGGAGAAATGTGTTTCCTGGAGGCTCAAAGACCTCGGCCCCTAGGAGAGGTAAATGGCCCAGTCTGGAGTCCTCAGACCTAAAAGGGCTTCTAGATTAAGGACCCTGCCCCTTCAGTTTGATAGTTAAACAAACTGAGGCAGGAGGAGGGGAAGAGACTTGCTCAAGGTCACCCAGCCCGTGGGTGACAAAGCCCACCACAACTCCTCCAGGGCCTGCCGGGTACCAGGATCTCAGACACTAGCTCCAGGCCTCACATTTACAATGGGTACTGCTGGTCCCCAGGTCTGCACTTGTCGGAGGAAGCGCCTAGGCTCTGCGAAGGTCATGCAGCTAGGAAGGGGCACAGCTGGAACTCAGCGCTGTCCCTGCCAGGCTGCCTCGTGGAATCCATTCCTGGGTGTCTGCACTACACTGCTTACCCCGTGAGATCTTGGTGTTGAGCCCATTGCCAAATCTAGGCTTGCCAAAATTCAGATTGACCCAGGGTAGCTAATAAGATCAGTTGAAATAGGCTGGAGTGGAGACTACTGCAGGGACCTCAGTTGCGTAGCTGGGTTTGCTCCAAGAACTTTGGACAGGCCCTGAGGCACTCACATCCCTTCCTTCCAGGGTCCCTTCCCCTTGGGTCTCTGCCCATTCCCTCAGACTCCCAGCTCTTCTCCCTGCTCAGAGCCCTGCATCTTTTCCTGGGGCATTGCATGGGAAAGGTGCTGAAACCCTGGCAGTTTCCCTAGGATCACCCAGCTGAGCAGCAGGGACCAGGTCCCTATACATGGGACAGTCTGAGGTAGGGGCTCTGCCCTCTCTAGCCCCTGCCCAGTTCCCAGCTGAAGGATTGGCTGGCGTGCTCCAACTTAAAGCCCAGAGCGAAAGCCCAGAGCGAAGTGCAGGTGCCAAGGTGTAAAGTTCAGAGTGTGAGTAGAACCACAGTAGAGGGGTCGAGAGGTCGGTACATGGAACCTTCTTTTCTGAGTCTAGAGCCCAAATCTGCCACTTAACATGTGATCTTGGGGAAATTAACCTCTCTGTGACTTGTCTTCAGAGTAAAATAAAAGAGTTAATCTTGATAAAGTGTGTAGCACACAGCAAATGACTGGAAGCAGTGATTACTATGACAGATGCAAAGTCATAAAACCTCTAAAACTGAGGGGTGGAGGAGCTTGTTATGGTTTTAGGCAAAATTTGTAACCTGCACTGTAGGTAGTCTGCCAGGGCTAAGGTGCTTGGAAACAAGGTGATGTCTTCCCAGAGAGACAGTGCCATGTGCAGAAGGGACCACAGACACTAAAGTCAGATGGAGCTGAGAGCTATGGCTGCCCGGGGAGCCTCAGGCAGGTCATTCACCTCTCTGAGCCTCAGTTCCTCATCTTTGAGTGGGGTCGTTGGAGGTGAGCATCAGAGATAGGTCTAGACCAGGGGTTCTCATCCTCAGCACTGCTGATATTTGGACCAGATCATTCTTTGTAGTGGGGGGGTTGCCCTGTGTATTGTAGGATGTTTAGCAGCATCCCTGGTCTCTACCCATCAGAGGCCGGGAGCACCCCCACACTATGAGTTGTGTCCATCAGAAATGTCTCCAGACATTGCCAAATGTCCCCTGGGGAGCAAAATCACCCTCCCTGCTCCCCACTGAGAACTGCTGGTCCAATATATGGCCTTAAACACAGTGGATGCTTGATATAAAACAGCTTCCTTCTCCTTGCACAAGCTCATTTTTCTGGTTTCTACATGATGGGGGGAGGGGGAGAATGTGTCCAGCTGTGGAGTCTCTCAATGTTAATGACAATTTTAATTCCTTAGGTTTACACAGGACTTTGCCGTCTCCATAGTACTGTTGTGTCTGTTATATCATTTTCCATTTTACAGATAAGTAAACTAAGGCTCGCAAAGGTTGAAAGACTTGTCTAAGAGCATCACCCCACTAGAGGTCAAAGACACATTCATGCCAGAAATAGTTTTAGAATCAACCTAGCTCTGGAGGCTTCTTCAGGTTATTTGGCAGTCACTGCACAACCTTTGGCCCAGCAATCTCACTTAGAAGAAGGAAGCCCCTTCGGCAGTGCTCACTCGTGCACGCAGATAACATAAGAATGTCTGCTGCAGGGCTTTGTAATACCAGTATGGGAAGGGGTGACAGTGCAGCGCGTTCGCGTTCATGACTCATGGGAAAGTGAGCAGTCTTTGGAAGAATGAGGTCGATCGACATTCCTGACCTGGAAAGTTCTTCAAGGCCTATTACTTAGTGAAAAAGATAAAGACACAGGGTCAATATAAAGAGTATGATCCCATTTCAAAAAACAAAAGATAGATGTAAATATGGAAGTGGATAGTTAAAGAACCTATATAGTACATGTGTAAGAATATATTCATGGAGGAAGAAGAAAAGGAATCCCCCACCAGCTTCCCGTGCATTAGATAGAAATAAGCAAAGTGAAGCCCATGGAGGTTAAGAGACTTGCTCACACCAGGAGTTACCAGTGGTGGAAACTCAGCTGTGAGCTCCCTGAGAGTTCTGGGGCCAAGAGGCAGAATCTGAGGCTTCACCTCTGTAGGATGAGCCTCATTCCTTGCCGGGGGCGGGAAGTGCTTCCCCCAGCACCGAGGTAGGCCTTGATGGTTAGACTGACCTCCGTAGAACTGGGCTTCCACCAGCATGACAACCTCAGGCCAGCCACTTTATCTCTCTCTGCTCATTTCTCCATCTTTTATTTTTTCTTTGAGACTGAGTCTCGCTCTGTCACCTGGGTAGAGTGCCGTGGCATCAGCCTAGGTCACAGCAACTTCCAACTCTTGGGCCCAAGCGATCCTCCTGCCTCAGCCTCCCGAGTAGCTGAGACTACATGCATGTGCCACCACACCCGGCTAATTTTTCTGTTTTTAGAAGAGATGGGATCTCGCTCTTGCTCAGGCTGGCCTCGAATTCCTGAGCTCAAACGATCCTCCTGTCTCAGCCTCCCAGAGTGCTAGGATTACATCCGTGAGCCACCTCTCCCACCCTGAATATTTCATATAAATGGAATCATGCAATATGTGGCCTATTGCATCTGGCTTCTCCACGTTGTAGCATGTATCAATGCGACATTCCTTTTATGGCCGAATAATATTGCTGTATGGTTAGACCACAGTTTGTTTATCCATTCTTCAGTCGATGCACACTTGAATTGTTTTCACCTTTGGGCTATTGTGAATATGTGTGCACAAGTTTTGATTTGAAGACCTGTTGTCAATTCTCGTGGGTTATATGCCCAGAAGCAGAACTGACAAAGCCTATGGTAAGTCTTGTTTAACTTTTTACAAAAAGGAACTGCCACACTGTTTTCCACACTGTTTGACATTCCCACCAGCCATGTGTGAGGGTTCTGTTTCCTCACCAACACTTGTTACTTTCCATTTTCTGGTTATTACTATTATGGTCATTCTAGCAAGTGTGAAGTGATCTCATTGTGGTTTCAGTTTGCATTCCCCTAATGACTAATGATGTTGAGCATTTCTCGTGTGTTTGCTGGCCATTTGTGTGTCGGCTTTGGAGAAATATACACTAAAGTTCTTTGCCTATCTCTGAATTA